CGGGGCCGCCGGGCCGTGCCTGCCGCGCGAGCGCGGCCACCCGCGCCGAGGGCCCCTGCGCTGGGGCAGGCCCCGAGGACTGCCCTGCAGAGACGAACCGCACCGCACACGGACTATGACCGTGCCCGCTGATAAGGCGTGGAAAGCTGTGCCACGGCTACAGACCGTAGCGCCTTTCCTTTCTAAAAGGAGGTATGGATCAGTATTGTGATACATGAGCAAAAATGCCTAAGGCCTCCCAGCAGCAGGACAGAGGGCAGCAGGATGGAAGGTGACCCCCAGCAGTGCATCCCCCCAGGCAGCAGCACGACCTGCAGCTTTAGTCCTTACTGCAGCACTCGTGAGCAGGGGTGGAGGGGGAAGAGTCACTGCTCAGCAGCCCCCTGGGCAGCCAGACCTTGGAGCTGGACACTCAGGGGCTACCTTTGCTACGCCAGAGCAGCACAGTCCCCTGCCACTGATAGCCACGCAGCCACCTCAGCACCAAGCGCCCTCTGCTCCTAGCACAGAGGAGCTCAGACCTCAGCTTTTGCAGAACACCTAGCAATACACAGAGTCGGCAGAAGCCAGGGGGGTATTTAGTTTTTTATTTTATCCTTTGTGTATTTTGGCATGTAAAGGGCACACAAGGAGGGGGCACAGCTCATGGCCCATGTTGCTTCCTGCACTGCTCCCTTTTCTGGGAGGAAGGGGATAAGGAGTCCCCCCATGATACACAAGCCACACACACACACACAAGCCCCTTCCTCCTCTCCTAGCCAGCAAGGAGGTGGCATCATCCCACTAAGCAGCAAAGCACTAGGGCTGCGTGTGTCATGAGGGGTGGGGACAGCGAGGACATTTCCTATAGAAACAGATATTCCCCCCCTCCCGCCCCTGGGCCCTAGTCGCTCATGTCTGTGGGGACCCCAGCCCCAGTCTTATTAGTCAAAGAACTCCAGCCTCCACCTCGCAGCGTGGCACAGACGGAGAGGCTTTTAAAAGGAAGCGTTGGTGAAGAGCACCAGGGGAGAGAAGGGCCCTGCTCTCACCCTCACTGCCCCCTACCCCACCCCCCCGCCTTCAGCCCGCCTTCCCCCTCCACACGCAGCAGGAGGGCGTTCTAGGTGGGGATCCGCTGATAGAAGTAGATGTAGCCCAGGTCCTTGGGGGGCTTCTCAGAAGCACAGACTTTCTGGTCGTTGTAGATCACCCACCTGCAGCAGGCACAAGGGGAGGAAGGTCATGGATGCTGTTCTAGTGCTATATCACTATTTGATTCCCCTTGCCCACTCTCCTCCTCCTCCTAATAGCTGCCTTCTTCCCCTCTGCAAGACCCCTGAAGAAAGAGGGGAGGAGAATGATTTAAAACTCTGCCTTGGGATCCCCTTATCCCGTAAGGGTCCCTCTTACCTGCCATCTTTCTTGATGTGACAAACGTAGTGGCCGCACATAGTTGAAGTGCCCATGTGGCTGATGAAAGCAAAAAGCTGATTAAAATGATCAGTGAAAGAGGGAAGGCTTGATACCTGGAATAACCTGTATCATGGCCTCTCCAGAGGAGAGCTGCTGATGTGTGAGACCTCGTCTGAGAGACATGCTGGGTGACAATTTAGAAGCAGGCTCCTGTCAAGCCTAACTGTGAGGATCTGGTGTCAAAGAGAGCAGGGAATGGGAAGATGTTAACCCCAGTCCAACCTCACCTCTTCCAACCGCTTACTTGGCTCATGCATTTCGGCAGTTAATCAGGGACTTCCCTCTTAATGGTCCCTACCAGAGAAGCAGCACAGGCATAATTTTTCCGAGCAGGCTGAAATCTGGCTTTTCAGTGGCAGCCTGAAGTCCAAAGCTAACTGGCTGGCAGAAATCAGCACAGACCTCCCCGATCTTGTACTTGATGACACCTCTTCTGCCTCTCAGGAGAGCTTATCTACTTCCAAGTAGGTCTTTTCCTGAAGGGTCTAGGCCCTACATCACCATCCTTCTCCTTTTCCTCCCTGCTCACACCATTTCAGCAAGTGAATCACCTATTCCTAGAAGCTACAGGACTGGATGGGTTAGGAAGAGTAAAGCTATGCTGAGTTTGCACCCAAAGCTCCATGCTCCTACTGCTCAGAACTCACTTCCAGGCCCATCACGCACTTTAGGACCCACAGGAACAGACTCGGAGATGGACTCAGCCGCTGAGCGACCTTCTGAAATATCCATAGCAGCTTCTGCATCAAGGTCATCAATATGACTAAAGATCCAATCCACGGCACGCTCCAGACTGTTGTTCTGGAAAGAAGAGCAGAATACTGTGAATTTGGGAATGCCTGTTCCTCAGAATACCATTTTGGTTGGCTGTCGTCCAGGCCTCTCACCGTGGCTCTAAGCGCTTTCATAGCCTGGTCCCGAGAGAAGCCCATGGAGACAATGGTGGCCACACTGTCTTCTGAAGGAGGGTCCGGGCAGGCAATAGTTGACCCTGGTCCACTGGATCCAGGGAGAACTAGAGGGTTAGCGAAGTCTGCAATGGGAAACAGAGCACAGCTCAGAACAGTGGCCTCCCTCTGACAGGGACATTCTGAGGTTCAAACCGCTTTAGCTTTCCCCTTCTGCCCCGTGACCGAGATGCAGCACGCTTTGTCACGGCAATGCGAGCTCGTACCTGGATCATCCATATGCGACATGACCCAGTTCATGGCAGCCTCAACCCCACTGTTCCCTGTGTAATACACGGCTTTGCGGCAGGCATCCATGGGAAAGCCCATCTCCACTAGCTGGATAATCACCGACTCGTCCAACATGGGAGCTGTGGAAAGACAAGAGATTACAGCGACCCACTCCCACCCCGTTCTGTGTTGTGCAGTCTCATAAAAAAAAAAAAAAAACAAATAAACCAGCAGTGCCTGGCTTCATTGCATAGAAGTTTTGTCTCCCTGCTCCACCTTTATAGTCTTTCTTCCTCTTCTGAAGGAAGAAGCACAGTCACCCGCAGGTGCCCCAGGGGACAAAGGGATTCAGCTCATGAATTGGGAAGCACTGGCTCTCCCCTACCCTCCAAATCCCACCTCCCGCCATTCATGGTGCAAACAGAACACCTCTGCCAGCTAAGCTGGTACAAGCCCCAGCTCTGCCCCCTGCCACCGAGCTGGACGTGCCACCATCCCAGCTCACACAGAACAAGCTTCAACACACGCCCCTGCATAACAGCCTTGCCTAACAGGCACACAAGGGAGGCAGCAGCTGGCGCTCGCTGAGACAGGGACAGGCAAAGGCTGAGTAAGAAGAAACTGCTAGTGCAGGAGACAAGACAAGGAGAGCAAGGGAGAGAGTCAGGCGTCAGGAAAAGAGGAGGAGAATCACTAACATGTTGGAGAGGAGAAGTGAGGGGAGCAGAAGGAGTCGTCGTCCTCGTTGCCATAGAACCCCAGGCTACCTTTGGGCTCATCTGGTGTCACCAGCGGGGGTGCGATGTCTGGCATTTCTTCTTCTCCCTCTTGCAACCCTGTTCCTTGCAGTGCGGAGATATCCAGCTCCTCTGGCATTTCAATTGAGACATCTGCAAAACACATTAATGCTCAGCCCTCCCATAGGAGCAGGGACCAAAGGACTTGTATGAGAGATCTAGAAAAGCAAGTCACTGGAGGTACAATGCACACTATGAACTGCTGCTCCTTGTGAGGTAGTTATTTTCCTCTTTCCAGTAACAGCTATGGTGCCTATATAAGACACCTAGTACCTATACACTCTGTAACTTCTTTCTTACCAAGCTTTTTGGGCACCCAATCCAAGCCAAAAGTGAATTTCTTGATTTGGATCACCAAGTAGTCTGGGAAAGACGCAAATCGCGTTGTCCTGAAAGACAGGAATATCACAGCTACATTTTACACCTTGTCAGCAA